CATTAGCTCTATTGTTTATAATACATTATGTACTTAAACAGTTTTGTTCAATAAAACCATACGATTTCTTGCTTTTGATACTTTATTTGAACTAATTATTATTGCCTCATTGCTATTAGGCTATATATGAATTTTAAGTCATTTTAAAGGCTATTGTTCACTTACATCTATTTTTATTACCACAAAAAATAATTATAATTATAGGAAGCATCTCCAATTAATTGATTTTATTTATTTATTTTGTTAAGTTTTTTCTTTTTTTTTCAGAAATACTGCACATTTACATTTTTCTCCTAAATAAATTCTGGTAAATAACATTTCTGGTAAATACTCCTTTAAAAAGTGTTTTTTGATTATAATTTTAATATTAGTAGACTATAACACGTGGATAAGTTGTCATTCTTACACTATTATACTGAACTTTGATTTCAGTGATTTGGACTATGAGATGGACACTTGCTTCTTGCACTCTATGTTGCACTTTACTTTTGCTTTAAAAAAAGGATTTAATAGAAATTTGGATTTCATTTGGTTTAATAAAATATAGTTTAATAAAATATTCTTAAGTGAAATTGTTGTTTTTTTTTGGTGGGAAATTAATCGTTAAGATTAATCGATTAATCGACAAATTAATCAATAGATTAATCGAAATAAAAATTAGTGGCAGCCCTAGATATTATAATATATGTATGCAATATATATAATATATTGTAATATATAGTGTTGGCTATACTATAAATTTACTGATGAAATCATTTAGTAAGTTATAACATGGGCTTACATGATTAAAAGAAACCTAATGCACTTTATAATTTGCAGTTTTTCTTTTTTTGCATAATGAAAATATGTGCCTTGAGTTCATTCAATCATAGAAATTCTTAATTTTATATATTTTAGAAAACAGAACAGGGACAATTAATTCCAAATAGCAAATTTAAAAAAAAATTCTTACAAGAATTGCGCGATAAAAACTCAAAATTCAGACTTTTTTTCTTTATATCTCACAGTTTTGACTTTTTTTCTCTGAATTCTGAGCGTACTTCTCGGACATTCTGTTTTTGTTTCTGCAATGAAATATGTGAGTTTATATCACAATTCAGACAATCTCGCAATTTTTTCTCAGAGTTCCAAAATTCCAAATTGTGAGCTATAAGCTTAGAATTGCGAGAAAAACAGTACAATGAGATAAAAATGTGGGCTTCCATAGACAATAGTCTGGAAAACAAATATTACAAATATTACCCTATAGTAAATATTACTCTGTTTTCATTTTTATCCAGACCTGGGAATGACTAAAATCAAATTCCATACTATGTAGGAACCTTGGTTTTAGAGATCTGAGCGATGACCGAGAGACATACCTAGTAACTTTTTTTTAAACTTATGAGCATTTAAAGAGAAACCTCTGACCAATAAAACACTCAACTGGTTATGAAACAAAAAGAGAGCACATCTTATTATTACCTGTGACAATGCCATAGTTGGGCGCTTCCAGAATGGCTCCATAGAACTGAATAATATTTTTGTGGCTCAGGACACTCAGAATCTCAGCCTGGATGAGGTGAAGGAAAAAAACAAAACAGATGCAGAGGTGAAAGTCACCAGACTGCGGTCAAACACTCAGGCTCAAATGAGTGCTGCATCAATGTCATAAAACTATTTTTTCATTACAGTATGTCGAGGTCAAATATTACGCTAGAAATGTGCGTGAACACGGAGCCATTAGCAGTATTGTGGGACATGTCCGCTGGGACTCAAACTGAATGGCTTCAGCCAGGAAAGCTGCTAAACTCGGGTAAACAGTGGAACAGACTCTGTCAGTGCTGCTGAGCCTGCATTAATACTGACAGCAACACACACCGCCTGCAAACCCACATTAAGATGCTACATTTTACACTTACAGTATATCAAATTTGCTTTAGACAAAGAGAAATAGAGAAAGGCGGGGGGAGAGATGAAGGGAAAAAGAGATCATGGTCATGGAAAACTGTACATCCTAACACTCCCCCTCTCTCATGACAATAAACAAGTCTGATGGATGGATGGAATACAGGAAATGATGTAACGGTGGCTATGTACACACATACTGTGTCCAGCTTTCGCAACATTTAGATTATGTACTGAATTTGATTAATAACTTACCAATATCTCAAAGGATGCAGTATGTCATCTCAGTATTGTTTGACTGCATGCACAGTGAATACTGGGACATCTACTGCTTTTTTCTTATTCTTTTGCATAGAACGCATATTTAGACTTTTAAAGGAGTCATATGATGCGATTTCAAGTTTTCCTTTCTCTTTGGAGTGTTACAAGCTGATTGTGTATAGACAAGATCCCTGAAGTTGCAAAGACTAAAGTCTCAAAACCAAAGAGATATTCTTTATCAAAGTTAAGACTCTGCCACGCCCCCCTAAAACGGCTCGTTCTAACACGCCCCCACATATCTACCTCACTATGTGGGAATATTAGCATAATTAATGCCGTAATGCCGCCCAAATGTTCACGCAAAGAAAGAAGGCGTGGTTTCAGTAACTGCAGTTAGTGTTGATGCAGGGAGACGCTGTGTGATTCAGTGCAAAAGTAAAGCACTTTATTTTGCCTTCCAGAAGTAGATGCATTTAGGAATCTTTAACCCTCTTAGCACCAAAGTCGCAAAATTACGACAAGACGTCATACTTAATCAAATAGACTGTAGTTCCTAATATGGTGTGATATCTCATTTGTATTCCCTACCACTAGATGGCAGACATGTAGTACTTCGATTCTAGACCAAAATTACGTCACCTTCCTATTCAAAGTGTTGGAGGAAAGAGCAGAGCAAGTGAGCTATCTGTCATTGATGCAGAAGCAGTTCAGTTCATAGCGTGTGGGTAAGCTGTGAGATTTGTGAGAGAAAATCACCAAATGGCTAATAAAAAGTTGTACCGTGAGGATGTGTTGCAAATGTTATTCGCCTATTCTGACTCTGAAGGGGAATATTTGCCTTTTGGAAATGACGATCGGTCGTCTAATGATCGCGCTTCTCCCGGTAACGTTACATCTTTGACGTGCAATGGTGCCGCCGTGTAAGGCGAGAGTGTTCACGAAGCACAAACAAGTGATTATTTTGACCCTTTGCCCAACGGGGATGGGAGTGGCAGGGGAATATCTATTATTTCCTGAATATTACGGATGAACTGATCAAAAAGTAGGCTACTGTTCACATGTGTTTTACTATTATATAGTATAGTAATATAGTAATAATTTAGTACTTTCTCCGGTTTTATTGTTGGTTTCCTCTTTTCTGATCATTTGGAATGAGGATAAAAAGACAAAAAAAACAAAACATGCAAATAAGTTCAAACATCAATTCAATATCTATTATTTCCTGAATATTATGACATTCAAGAGGGCCGCCCCCTGACGACGTCATAATATGCAAATTAGATGAGTATATTTACACCCCACATAAACTTTCAGTCACGCCCAACATTTAATCTAATTTACAGTAGATCTCTATCTTTAAGCCCTTTCAAGCCACAAGCTTTTGAAATCTTGATGTCAAAATCCAGCATTTTTCCAAAAAAAAAAACCCTGGCGCCTAAAGGGTTAAGATTACTTACAACAGAACAGCAATGCATTTTATGGACGACCGTTTCGTGAACCTAGGAGAGGAGGTAATTCTGACTTTGCTATGACAATCTGGCGCTTCTAAATCAGCTACGCGCGCGCGTGTCTGTGTGTCAGAGAGTGAGAGAGAGAGTAACATCACAGTGGAGTCAGCTGTCTTAACCGTGGCTTGTGTACTGCAAACACATACCAGCTTCATCACTGTGTCTGTCATGCGACTCTGTTCCCCTTTCGGGCTCTGTCTTTACATTTATTTTGAAAGATGAAGCTCGCGATTATGGTAAGGGGCGTTACATTTCCGACGAGTGCTTGCGGTGTTCAGTCAATCACAATGCACTGGGTCAGCTGGCCAATCAGAGCAGACTGCACTTGTCGGAAGGAGGGACTTTGTAGAAAACGAAGCGTTTGAGAGAGGCGGGGGCTAGAGGACCTACAATAATGTATATTATTTATTTTAAAAATAATGTGTTTTTTGAACATTAAAGCATGTCAACATATTCTGTTACACCAAATACACAATATAATGATTTTTAAAAAAGCATCATATGACCCCTTTAAAACAAACTGTGCATGAACAGCTGAACACAATTGTGTTTATCGCTTCAAACAGGCCTGACGATAACATATATGTATGTATGTATGTATGGTTGTAGTAAAGCAATATAAGCAATATAGCTAATCTAAATTGCTTGATTGTTTATATTGTTGCAAAATGTAAACTATTTTATCGTCCAGCTCTAATCTGCTAAACATGACTATAAGGCATGAATTAGATATTAATATAAACATCATGATTCTCTGTAAAGCTGCTCTGAAACAATGTGTACTGTAAAATAAAATTGATTTGACTGATTCAAAAACACAAATTGTGAGTCTGACGAACCTCGGCGTCAATCTTCAGCAGTTTTTTGACAGCCACTTCTTTGTCCTGTGAGATCCAGTGTGCCCGGTACACGCTCCCAAAACTCCCACCGCCGCAGTTCTCATAGAAGCGGATGTCATCGAAACGGATCTGAACGAAGCTAGCGCTGAGGGACGACATCTCATACTGACATTCACTGTGGCTGAAGAAAGAGAGAGACAAAGCAAATTAATATATATAAACATATTTGGCCAATCAAGTGATCAGGACAATGTGACAAATCTTTTTTTTAATAATAATAAAAATAATAATTTTATAATAAAAAAACAGAATAAAAAATATATATAAATACATTTATAAAAAAAAAAGCTGAGACAGAATAACAGTATTTTTAAATAGAATCACATCAACAAAAGCGTACATATATAGACTGCTGTAGAGCCAACCCTATAGTAATATTTACTAAATTTTTAATTGAAATAAAACTTAATTAACTATAAATATTAGACAAAAAACTTTTGTAATGTTGCTTTGTCAAGCTGTACAACTAAAAACGTTAAAACCAACACTGAACAAAAATATATTAAAGCTAAATTGAAATATTTATATATATTAAAAAAATCCTAAAAATGTCTAAAGCACATAACAAAATTACTACTCTCAAAATGAACACTGAAAATGTAAAAATAAAAGGTAATTCAAAATAGTCAAGCAATAAATGCTGTAAACTACACCAGGGTCACATGACAGGTCTTCATTTAAACTTTATTTTTATTTAATCTCTACAAGTTGAAAACTTTTCAGTTAGAATAGTTTGCAAGAGTGCCAGTATAAACACAACAAGAGTTTTCCTGTTCGGCATGATGACGTTTAATGTCCCCGACAACATCTGTAGTAAAAGCTTATAAAAAAAAACACAAGTGGGGTATTACTGTAGCCTATTTTAATATTGTAGAATTTTTTTTTTTTAATTGCCTGCATTTCTGTCAACTACAAACTTTATTTTCAAGCATTAAAAAAAACTTCGGAACAATGTAACCACAAGTGTAAAACTGATAACTCATTTCCAAGCATAGGACTCATTCCTACAGCACTCTGTTATGTAGAAAGATTTGAGAATCATCTCTAAAGCAGAATGCTACACAGTCATACATAGAAACTGCTTTAAGGATGATGAATTACGATGATTCTTAAGCAAGATCTGTGTGAAATGTCTACCCCCTGCGTGTGATTTACAGCGTGATCCTTTACCATGTTCACAAAACTGCAAAACGACTTGCCATGTATTTGCCTTCGGTGTTCTCCGCTACATCTGCGACTGGACTCCTGCCACTTTTGTCTACACTAAACCTCAGTCTTATTTTACAGGCATTATGAGAACACAAGGATAGACAAACGAGAGAGAGAGGGGGCTAAACAACAACTGTAATGTTTTGGATTGCTGTTAAAATAGAGATTAGAAATGTCTATTTACAGAAAATAAAAAAACAGCTTTTAAATATACAGCAGGAGAGATCATAACAAGGGAGATTAGGGAGAATGTAACCATCTGTTTTAAATTCTGAACTAATTATGGTTTATTGAACTGGGCGCAGAGGAATAAACGAAGTTAAGCACTGATATGACCATACACTTGTTAATGTGTTTGTTTGCACTTACAGCTGCAGCCATGAAGAACTAGCAAGTCAATAAACCGGATATTTATAACTTGTCCCTTGCTTAACCAGAACGTGTTGTCACAATGTTGGCCAGTTCAGTACACTGCCTCAAAAGAGCGCACCAACAGTATATATCTCTAGCATATTCTGCCACCTAGATATGGCTGATGTTACATGGTCTGCAATATATATATACTAAAAAATATGGTGTAGGATTTACTTAAAAATTGAAAATGTTAGTAAATTTCACAATTACAGTAATTGTAAAATGGCAAGTACACACATTGAATTAAATGAGATATATATTAATCTTTATTTACAACTTTGAAAAGCACCATTTCTTTATAGCACCATTAAGGTTCACCAATAAGGTTCAATTTCAAATCATGGATCTTTATAGAATTTTATAAAAGGGTTCAGCACCAAAAAGGGTTCTGCTATTGTCACAAACCGAAGAACACTAAACTGGAACTAAGTGTGTACTTGCCTTTTGCATTTAACTTAAAAGTCCTGCCATGTGACAAATTAATTTTTATTATTATAATATATTTTTATAATGAATAATTAAGATAATTTTGTATATATTTATATTTCCCTTGTCTCTCTGTGAGGTTATGAAAATGCATGTACAAGAATAAGAAAAATGTTGTTATAAATGAAGTATAACTTCAGGATATTGCTGCTACTCCTTAACATCAACTAACCATACTGTCATGTCAACTAACCATTAAGTGTGACGCAACCGGTTGCAACAAACACTGGTTGAATTTGCCAGTTTTTCCAATCCAAGAAGAGTGCACCGCTGAGTACTTCACATTCAGACCAGGCTCAAGTTAGCTTTCACCTTTAATGTAGTAAACGCTGATGTTGTTGTATTTGTTGTTAATGGGGTCTGGTTTCTTATACATTACTGACACATGCACGACCTCCCCTCAGATTGGCTTCCCCGGTTTAGAGTAACCAACCTATGTCCCGTACTCAGTCTATCACATAAAGAGCACTCAGTCTCTAAAAACAACCCGCATATCATCACTGTGGCCCTTTGGCTGTGACATCAGGGGCCAACAGGAGGCCAATGTGTCACACCTTCAACTATTCTTAACCAGAAACAGCTCATTCATACCTCTGACTCGATTCATTGCCAAGAACATCCTAACATTTCTATACTAATTATGCAAATAAACAGCAAATAGGAAGAAGAACAAATAAGAGCAAAACAGAACTGAGACAGAAGACATAAAACAGAGGAAACAAGAGGAAAACACTTGTTTGGTGTGAAAAGTCCAATCACACCAACACCAAGTGTTCAATGATACATTTATTTAGATTATACTATTTACAAGGTAGGCGTAGACATTTTCCTAAAAGAAAATAAGTGCCCTACACACACAGCGTCTCACTTTCCAAAAAGGCAGGATGAGAACAAACAAAGGCCTTCTCAGACCGATTATGATAACTTAGCAAAATGGGTCCAACCCAAAAATATACAAATATAACTCAATGTACAAAATGACCTCAATAATGCTACAGGCTATGGTGAGGTAAGTTACTAGCACACAATTTAACCAGAGGTAAAAAATAGTCCTTGAGCCAGAATACTGACATTTATATGACTTAAAACAACATAACACAAGACATTGAGGCCTGGAAGGTTATGCGGAGTACCAATGATTCATTTTCTGTGGCCGGCGTACGATCATAGTGTTATTTGTATGCACGATATGTAGCTTGTACTAAACTCTTATTTTTAGGATTGTTCTGAAGGTTTCGTAGGATCATAGAAGTGCAGGCTTGAGCACAGGCAGCAGGTTTACACTGTTGTCTCATGGGAATGAACAAGGGCCTCACATGACTGAATCTAAGGATGAACACTTTTAACAAGTGCATTCTGCTTACACACACACAAACACACACTGTCAACCAAGGTAGCTCTTATGACTGAAGTCAATAACATGCAACTTGCACACGCGCACAAACAATCATTCGTATGAGAATGCATCTTGTACACGTAGTTCAGTTGGCAGTGATAGCACATACAGTCGGCATTCAACTGCTCTAGCAGCTGATCGACGTAAAATTGAGTTCTACTTTTGTAAACTGGATATACAGTGGTTGTATTTCAAAGAGAGAGAGAGGAACACACACTGTCAACCAAGGTAGCTCTTATGACTGAAGTCAATAACATGCAACTTGCACACGCGCACAAACAATCATTCGTATGAGAATGCATCTTGTACACGTAGTTCAGTTGGCAGTGATAGCACATACAGTCGGCATTCAACTGCTCTAGCAGCTGATCGACGTAAAATTGAGTTTTACTTTTGTAAACTGGATATACAGTGGTTGTATTTCAAAGAGAGAGAGAGGGAGGGAAAGCAAGAGAAAAGGTCTGAGCATTGGTCTTTAGCCCCGTCTCGGCTCCAGTCTGAAGGACAGCTGAGATAAGGTTCTCTGGTTGTCAATCACATTCAATTGACGTACGTAATTCCTCACTTCCTGTGGGTTCTTGCTAGCTGGAGACACCTCAGCATCTGATGGAGGAGGGAACAGTGTCAAACATCCATCAGTAATTGCTGAACCACGATGAAATGTGGTTGACTTAACCTTTTACCTATTAACCTAGTGTGATTACAGCTGCTATTTTTTCTTTTTTCTTTTTTCTTAATGTGACGTGACATGTGGCCAAGTATGGTTACCCATACTAGGAATTAGTGTCAATAACATGCAACTTGCACACGCGCACAAACAATCATTCGTATGAGAATGCATCTTGTACACGTAGTTCAGTTGGCAGTGATAGCACATACAGTCGGCATTCAACTGCTCTAGCAGCTGATCGACGTAAAATTGAGTTTTACTTTTGTAAACTGGATATACAGTGGTTGTATTTCAAAGAGAGAGAGAGGGAGGGAAAGCAAGAGAAAAGGTCTGAGCATTGGTCTTTAGCCCCGTCTCGGCTCCAGTCTGAAGGACAGCTGAGATAAGGTTCTCTGGTTGTCAATCACATTCAATTGACGTACGTAATTCCTCACTTCCTGTGGGTTCTTGCTAGCTGGAGACACCTCAGCATCTGATGGAGGAGGGAACAGTGTCAAACATCCATCAGTAATTGCTGAACCACGATGAAATGTGGTTGACTTAACCTTTTACCTATTAACCTAGTGTGATTACAGCTGCTATTTTTTCTTTTTTCATTTCTTAATGTGACGTGACATGTGGCCAAGTATGGTTACCCATACTAGGAATTAGTGCTCTGCATTTAACCCATCTTTAGTGCACACACACAGCAGTGAACACACACACACTGTGAACACACACCCGGAGCAGTGGGCAGCCATCTATGCTGCGGCGCCCGGGGAGCAGTTGGGGGTTCGGTGCATTGCTCAAGGGCACCTCAGTCGTGGTATTGAAGGTGGGAGAGAGCGCTGTACATTCACTCCCCCCACCTACAATCCCTGCCGGTACGAGACTTGAACCCACAACCTTTGGGTTACGAGTCCGACTCTCTAACCATTAGGTTACGACTTCCCTAAGAGGCAACATTAGCCACTCTGGATTCGAACCAACAACCTTAGGGATTCAGGGACAGAGGCTTAGCAGAGTACACTCAGTTGACGCATTAAACATACAGGTACCAGTATGCCATTTATGCCTATAACGTAAACATTGTTAGAGTATTTTGAATTTGTGGCAACCACAGCTCCCAGTTTTGACCATAAATTTTATGGGACTTTATTTACAATATTTTTTATACATCATTTAGATGTTTTTACAATTGCTGTGATTTAATGGCAATCGATTCTCTTATACCTCTAGACATGGCCAGTTATGCTTTCCAGATTGCCTAAAATCAGATTGTTATGAATATGACGTGATTGACTGATCTCTGGGATGTAGCTTTTTAACTAGGCAGCTCATAAGGCATAAAGAGAAATGAAAAAGAGCATTAGTGTGTAGATGACTCACAGAACGGCTGGCTCCTGCAGTGCCTCATTGCCCGGACTGTGTTAGCAATCAGCCGCTGCAAAAACAAACAAAAAAAGTATAAATAAATACATATGCTCTAGCTGGCCAGATAAGTCATGGATTCAGTGTTGATATTGTTAACTAAAACAATTAAAAACAAATATGTTAATTGAAATAAAGCTGAAATCAACTTAAAAACTCAAAAATTAGAAATGTTTCAATGCTAACTACTGAAATAAAATGACTACAATTACTACATCTAAAACTGAAATAAAAATAAAGATAAATAGAAATATTACAAATAATTAAAAAAATGTCTATGTACTTAGAGTAAATACTATAAGTATATAATACTACAACACAGCAGAGATGACAGTAAGAGACTCACCATCTTCTCAAAGTTCACCAGTCCATCAATAAAAGTCTTATTCCCCTCGTGAGTGAATGTCATGTCTGAAAACAGAAGAAATGTTTTATGCTGTAGAACAGTACTGAAATAATATTTGTGACAGCCAGTATTTGTGACCCTAGACCACAAAACCAGTCTTAAGTGTCAATTTTTCAAAATTGAGATTTAAACATCATCTAAAAGCTGAATAAATAAGCTTTCCATTGATGTATGGTAGGATAGGACAATATTTGGTCGAGATACAACTATTTGAAAAACTGGAATCTGAGGGTGCAAAAAAAAAAATCAAAATACTGAGAAAATCGCCTTTAAAGTTGTCCAAATGAAGTTTTTAGCAATGCATATTACTAATCAAAAATTAAGTTTTGATATATTCACTAAATATCTTCATGGAACATGATCTTTACTTAATATCCTAATGATTTTTGGCATAAAAGAAAAATCTATAATTTTGACCCATACAATGTATTTTTGGCTATTGCTACAAATATACCCCAGCGACTTAAGACTGGTTTTGTGGTCCAGGGTCACATTTATTATTAAGAATACTGGGGCTAGGCCCCGCCCACACCTTTAATAAGGAGAGGCATGAAGGGAATGATTGGCGGCTCCATCTTAGCCATAGTGAGGCGATATGCACGGTGATTCCTGGATGGATCCTGAAAGCAACACATAAATCATACTTTAATAAATAATGTGTCTCAATCACAAAATAATATCTTTTAGAAAGAAAGCTAGAATTCAAAATGTTTGAAATAGACCCACTAGTAAACTCTCAAACTCTCCGTAGAACTTCTTGAATTTACTAGGCAGTTTCTAAAATAAAAAAGGGAGGGGTGGGGGACATTTTTAAAGATTTTGTTCAAAATGGTATAGACACTTTTCAAAATATGAAAATATGAATACAAAGACTACATTTTTAAGAATATGGCACATTTTTATATTATTATTAAATAAGGCTTATTATATTCTGACCTCCCATGTCTGGCTGAGTCTGCTGACGGCTGGGTTGCACATGCCCATAATAATGGCAAAGAAAGAGTTCAGATTCTTAAACTCTCTACAGCTGTGGGAATAAATGCACAGTACACATATACAAAGTGCTTATCAAATCAGTCAGTAGAACATGCAATGCCTCAAATCCTGAGTTCTGGAGAAATGATATTATGTGTGCTGGAGAACTCACTGGGCGGCAATCTTGATGAACTTCTTGAGTAGCTGTACCCGTTTGCTGAGCGTCCCGCACAGACAGACCTCTGTGACCACCCACAGCTGCACCTGATTAAAGCGCTTCAGAAACAGCTCCAGATTTGCTGTAGAGCGTCTGTATGCCTGCCGTCCGAACGTATGAAACACCAGCTCATACTGCACACACACACACAAAGTACACACTTTGTGGGTTAAAAACGTCATTTGTGTGTGTGTGTTTCAGTGTATGTGCATCTTTACCTCATGTACACAGCTGAAAAGCTCCCAGTCATATTGAGTCATCTGGAAGGCCAGGTCTTTAGAGCTCATCAGCTCAAAACTGGACATAGAGCCTGTAGAGGGACCTTCCTGCTCTGGAAGAGGATTCTACACACACATACACAGTCATTACTAAATACACACTAACACAAACGCCACAATTATTAACAAACACTTTTGAATAATTAAGATGTTTTTGAAAGAAGTCTATTATGCTCACTAAAGCTGCATTTACAATAAAAATCCGCTGAAAATGTATTCACCCTCTGACCATCCAAGTTGTAGAAGAGTTAGTTTTTTCATCAGAACATATTTCCGATGAAGAAACTAATCAAGAAATGTAGCCTTAGAGCATTTGCTCACCAACGGATTCTCTGCAGTGAATGGGTGCCGTCAGAATGAGAGTCCAAAAAGCTGATAAAAAAAACGTCACAATAATCCACAAGTAATCCACACGACTTGTTAAGTGAGAAGCTATGTGTTTATAGCAAACAAATACATTATTAAGACGCGTTTAACTTTAAACCCCTGCTTCTGGCTAAAATAATTCTCTATCCATAATATTGTTTTCTCCGGTGAAAAAGTCATCTCATCTGAATCAGGAGAGAAATATGTACAGATCAAGCACTGTTTTCAAGCAAAAACAGTGAAAAATATCTCTAAACAAATATGTTGGTGGATTTCGATGTGCGAGGACAACAGTGGATGGACTTTTTGACTGGAGGAAGTGCTATTATAGATCATGGACTTGCATTTTGGCCAAAATTGACAGTTTAAAGTTTGTCACATGCCCTAATGATGTATTTGTTTCTTACAAACACACAACTTTTCGCTTTCAAGACATTAACTGATGGACTGGAGTCGTGCGGATTACTTGTGAATTATTGCGATGTAATTATCAGCTGTTTGGACTCTCATTCTGACGGCACCCATTCACCGCAGAAGATCCATTGATGAGCAAGTGATGTAATGCAACATTTTCCAAATCTGCTCTAATGAAGAAACAAACTCATCTACATCTTGGATGGCCTGAAGGTGAGTATATTTTCAGCAAATTTTCATTTTTGGGTGAACTATTCCTTTAAGTGTCCAAATACTCCACATTTGGTCTCACAAGTGAATCAAGCTGTTCTCTGGAGCAGGCAAACAATCGGCCGTTCTCTCCTAGCGACTGGAACACCGATACATCATTGGGCTTTAAAATCTGCTTCTCTGCACAGAAATAAAGCCCAGAATTAGCCAGACCACAAATCACATTCTGAACACTTTTTCAGCTGTACAAGATCAACACCTAATACATTTATTATAGATTTGATGCACTTTATTTACTATCCTTAATATTTAGACTACCACATAAACTTCAACCTAATACAGGATTTACAGTTCTGCTGGTACTTTCTGAAAGGTTTAGTTTGAAACTGATCTGGAAGTGGATTATATAATACAGAAAATACAGTGCTTCAATACAGAATGTTGCTAGAGCAACAAAAAGGCTGAATATCTACAAACTTCTGTGTGTATTTGTTTGTCACATCTCTAAGGGCAACTAATATTTCATCATGAGATTGTGAGTGTGTGTGGATCACCTCCAGATGCGCTGAGGTTTATCAAAAGCAGCTCTTCAGTGGATCCCAGTTTATCGGCTACAGCTGCGGTCACCTCTCTCCCCGTGGCCAGCACAGGAACACGAATAGTGGTGTAAGTGTGATCGCTGCAGTACACCTTTAGGAGAACTAGACACACATGGAAAGACGAAGATGAAGAGAGAGGAAATTTGACTGATTGAGTGATTATCTAATTCATTCATTCATTCATGCATTCCAAAAATTAAACAGATACATTCTATATCCCAGCTAACGGAACTTTCTCAGAAATTTGGCAAATGCTCTGCCAAGGTTTTCAAAGTCAGATATGAACAAATGTTCTACTAGTAACATCAAAAGAATGCTCTTTCACAGTTATCTGGTCTTTAATAATGTTTTCAAAACATTAGCAGAAAAACATTATTTATACATCACTCATGGAATGTTTTATCTGAAAAAATTTTAGTTGGATGTTCAGTTTTTTATGTTACTTCTCGTTTCACAACCTTCAGAGAACATTCAAAAGTAACTTTCCCATAATGATAAAAAATAATAAAAACAGAAGGTTCCCTTAACATATATAGAAAACATTTGTGACCCTGGAGCACAAAACCAGTCTTAAGTCGCTGGGGTATATTTGTAGCAATAGCCAAAAATACATTGTATGGTTCAAAATTATAAATTTTTCTTTTATGCCAAAAATCCTTAGGATATTAAGTAAAGATCATGTTCCATGAAGATATTTTGTACATTTCCTACTGTAAATATATTAAAACTTAATTTTTGATTAGTAATATGCATTGCTAAGAACTTCATTTGGACAACTTTAAAGGCAATTTTCTGAAAATTTGTTTTTTTTGCACCCTCAGATTCCAGATTTTCAAATTATTGTATCTCGGCCAAATATTGTCCTATCCTAACAAACCATGCATCAATGGAAAGCTTATTTATTATTAAATCTAGAAAAACCTAGAACCTTATGACTGGTTTTGTGGTCCAGTGTCACATTTCATTTTTAGAACATTTAAAAACCTGGATGATTTAAATGTTCAGATGATATTAAGAAATAACTTTTTCATAACTTAATGGAAACTTTAGCAAAACATTCTTAGAACATATTTTTGTTAGCTGGGAATGTCCAAAGAGCTGAGACTACTTGCAGACATGCTTAAAAAAAGACATATTTTCCCATTGAAAAAAAGTGAATTGTTTAAATAATAAAAATAAAAATGTAGAGGTATAAAAGTTTAAAATGAACATGCATGTCAGAATATCTTAGTATTTAGTCCCCCTTTTGTTTTAATTGATAGCAGTACTTAAGATGAAATCAGCAGTAAGGTTATGCAAAATCTGGTGATTATGTTATCAAGTCTTCCAGGTTATTTTCAACAATTGTATTTATTAGTAACACAGAAATAGTGACACATGTTTCATGTTCATTTGTTTTTACACTCATGACTTTCCTTTGTTTAATTTTTTTTCTCCCAAAAATTATAAACTGTTCATATAGATATATACATGTGACCCTGGACCACAAAACCAGTCATAAGGGTCCATTTTTTTAAATTGGGATTTATTCATCATATGAAAGCAGAATAAATAAGCTTTCCACTGATGTATAATTTGTTAGGATTGGACAATATTTGTATCCTAATGATTTTTAGCATAAAAGAAAAATCAGTAATTTTGTATTTTTGGCTATTGCTACAAATATACCCCAGCGACTTAATACTGGTTTTGTGGTCCAGGGCCACATATACAGATACTCACTGTCATCAAAGCTCCTTATTGGCTGCTTTTTTGCAAGCCTCTCCTCTCCAGAGCTGAACTGTCGCAGGAGGACTTTATGCTGAGAGCACAAAAACCAAATGCATATGAACATAGCAAAACATTTATCATTTTTTTTAACAATCCAATCCCATTTAGACCACAGATATAGCTACAGTAGATCTATAAACAATAAAGTACAAGAAAGCAGATCTACATTACCTTTTTTTGAGAGGTTCGTGCATCATCTGGACTGAGAACATGAAACAAACAAACACATGTGGACATCAGTAACATTAACCATTCAGATTAAGCTAATAATAACAGCCCAAAAGGCACATTCAAAACCCACTAAAAACCTACTACTGCTTGATGATCCTCTCCAGCTCAGGAAGTAGCTCCTTCAGTGGACGCAAAACTCTTGCATCATTAGATACAAACCCATGCAGCTCCTGAATGCACACAAAACACATTTAGCATGCATAATAGTCAGTTTGGTTTCATCTGACTACTATCATATGTCCATGCAGACTGGTGGTAAGTGATTCTATGCTAGCATGTGTGTGTTTGTGTATGTTTATAACCTCCAGAAAGCTCAGCGCAGTGTCATCCTCCAGCAGATGGTGGCCCTGCAGGGCAGCCCAGCGCAGAGCCAAGCTGAGCACCCGTCTCTTGCTGGCAACAGAGTAGTCTAGACGCTCCTGCTCTGAGCCCTGAGAGGCCTGAGAGTGATAGGTACACACACACGTTAAGAAACATATCCATACTTACAAAAACAGTGTGCTGTTCTTACAGATAGATAGATAGACAGACAGACAGACAGACAGACAGACAGACAGACAGATAGATAGATAGAGCTGATTGGTTGATTGATTTCACTAGAAGGATATTGGGCCAGAAGGGCAGGGCACAGCTGGCTGTTGGGCATGAAGACGCAGTGCATGAGAGCAAAATCATCCAGAGCTGGATCTTTGGATGAAAAATATTGCAGAATTAATAAAAAATGTATTGAAGAAATAGTTCAACCAAGACGAAAACTTGCTGAGAATTTACTCATCCTAAGTCCATCCAAGATGTAGATGAGTTTTTTTTTTTTTTAATCGAAACAGATTTGGAGAAATTTTACATTTCATCACTTGCTCACCAATGGATCCTAATGTATGTAGTCATTTAACATTAACCTTAATAAACAGAAATAACATGACATGACATTACCTTGCCATAGATAACAACATTTACTGATCCCTTCTGGATAATATACCAAGAAGTGCCTTCCTCTCCTTGATTAAACACTAAAATAAGAAAAGCAAACATACATAGAATATTACTGAGCCAACCTAGTATTTACACTACTGATCAAAAGTTTGGAGTCAGTACGTGCCAGAAAAATGAAGGTTAAAAACAAAATTATTTGATATATTACCACCTTGTGTCTTAAATACAGGGGCTGTAACCAACATAACCACTCAAAATTTTAAAAATATTTTTTTTTACATTCATTTATATTTATTTATTTATATATTTGTAAATGTATTCTTTTTTTTCAGCAAGGATGCACTGTATTCACAAAAGTGACTATAATACTAATATTTATAATGTTACAAAATGCTTATAAATGCTATTATTTTGAACATTCTATTCATCAAAGAAGTCTCATGATTTCCTCAAAATATTAGGTAGCAACTATGTTTTCAATGATAAATGTTTCTAAAGCACCAAATCAGCATATTATAATGATTTCTGAAAGACAATTTGACACTGAAGACTGGAGTAATTATGCTGAAAATTCAGCTTTTCCATCACAGCAATAAACTGCATTTTAAAATATATAAAAATAGAATATAGTTATTTTAAATTGTAGAGTAAAATTATTTTTACTGTAGTTTTTGATCAAATAAATGCAGCCTTGGTGAGCTTTTAAAAATATTTAAAAAATCTTACTGACCCCAAAAAGTACTACAATACCAACAGCATTTAAGTGTGTATAAGTTAATTACGAGTGTTGGTGAAAGTTACTTTTAAAAGTAAAGCATACAACACAAGTAAAGCATTACAATATTGTGTTACTCCATGAAAAATGAACTAATTGTGTTACTAAGTTACTTTTTATGGAAAGTAATGCATTACGTTACTTTTTGTCACCTGAGATGGGCTTGGTTATTACGAAAAACAAAAAAACTGAAAAAATCTATATTTTTGGCAGCTGTATAAAGGCCCTTTCACACCAAAAGTGAAATTAATAAGCCTCAGGCTAAAGGAAGTGCCTCTACACCTCACTCCTAATTTCTCTTAACACAGAGAGAAGGTGAGGTGATAGGAGAGGTGTCGATAAATAAATGGGAAAACATTGCGTTACGTATTTGAAAAAGTAACTCAGATATTTTCATGTAAATTGAAAAGAAATGCATTGCTTTACTTGTTACTTGGAAAAGGTAATCTTATTACATAACTTGCGTTACCCCCAACACTGTAATTGTCAGAATTTAAAGAGCAGTAAAGACACACTGAAACTCACAGACAGTGCCTGCTTTGGCATGTGACTCAAAGATGAGGACACCGGCGAGCTCTCGCTTCACCTGCAGAGGACAGCACAGCACAGCTCATGTTAGTCTGCTCATACCAGCGCTGATATCAGGCATTACTGTGGAAATGAGGCACAGAGGTCTCAATGGAGGACTTACAGTGTTAGACAGATGAGAGAGAGCTTTGATATGCAGCAGCTCATCATAGATAATCTCCAGGTCTTCAGCTGTTCTTTGACCTGGCCTATAAAGAGAACAAGGGACGAAGAAAGATGGGTAGAGTAGTTCAGGAAGAGTAAAAGCGGACAGTAGCAGAATTTGTGGGCTCAAAAAGCACTCCTGTCTTAATGGAAGCAAATGCACATTTCACATGAATAAATACTGCACGGGGCGCTGTTGGTCACTCACGGTTTCCTGAGGATCATTCGCATGTGCGCGTCAGGGCCGATCTGGGAGAGGAAGAGGAGGGTCTCCTGCAGCTCTTCCTCAGCTTCACGTTTCTCATCGTCGCTAGGCAACACCGCATCCTCCTCCTCGTCATCAAGGAAGCGGTAAAAGAGGTACTTATCTTGAAAGTTCAGCTCGTGGTCGACTGTCGACATAGCAAAAAGAAAGAACAGAGATAAAATGCAATATGTGATCTGGTGCGTGAATCCATTCAGATGCTCTAATTAGAGTCATTTAAAAAAGTTTTTGGGGGATTCTTTTTATTTTATCAAGCCCTTACTTGGTTTAACTAGCTGGGTCATTTCTTTAATGCAGTATAGAGCTGCGGCAGCTGAACAAGTGCCATTGAGATGAATGGGAACACTAGATATCTTTCTCCAGATGACATTACCTTGCCATAGATAACAACATTTACTGATCCCTTCTGGATAATATACCAAGAAGTGCCTTCCTCTCCTTGATTAAACACTAAAATAAGAAAAGCAAACATACATAGAATATTACTGAGCCAACCTAGTATTTACACTACTGATCAAAAGTTTGGAGTCAGTACGTGCCAGAAAAATGAAGGTTAAAAACAAAATTATTTGATATATTACCACCTTGTGTCTTAACAAACCCAAAGAGATATTCTTTATAAAAGTTAAAACTCGTCCACACCCTCCTAAAACGCCTTGTTTAAACACGCCCCCACATGTCTATGTCACGATGTGGGAAGATTTGCATAACGCCGCCCAAGTGTTCACGCAAAGAAAGAAGACGTGACTTTTATTCTCGCTGTAGTATTGTTGCTGCCGCCGCCGTCGCCATGTCATTAAGATGCTGTGTGTTTCGTTGCGAAAATACTTTGTTTGGTCTTCCAAAAGAGGACACAACTAGAAATCAGTGGTTAAGTTGTGTTTACAACACTGTTCCAGAACAGTTCAAACCAAATATTCGTGTGTGTGCAACGCATTTTACGGAGGACTGTTTCCTGATCCTGGTAGAATAGACTACAATGCCGGCTGTTCTGACTCACAGACTGTAAGTATGTTTTCATATTTAAAGGATTTGCCACTGATGATTCAAATGTGAGTTTTGAGCAGTGTAGAGTAGGCTTGTTGTTTGTCATTTCTCCGATCACAAATGCAGACATGGTTTTATGTTTACGCGGCGCGATACGCAACGCATAAAAAGACAGTTTAAGTTATTATAATCCATAATTATGTCCCCACTGGATGCAACAAATGCCTCGTTTATAATGGGTTTTAATGTTTTTGTCTCGTCGCTCCGAGACACGGCATCACAGTATGTGAGGGGCGTAACATTTCCGACATGCTTGAGGTATTCAGCCAATCACAACGCACTGGATAGCTTGCCAATCAGCGTACACCTCGCTTTTTATTAGGAAATAATATTCCTAATAAAACTGAAAATCAAAGCAAAGAAAATTAAGAAACATCTGCAATGCTTAAAATGGCCAAATTCACTCAAACCAGTGTAGTGAAACAACTTTTAAAAATGAATATGATAATTTAATAATCACAAAAGAAAAATGAGTATATGATTTTCAGTTTAATTAGTATAATTTGTGAGTTTGATATTTTTCACCAAGGCATTAAGACAAAGATGTGAAAAGGTACTGCACAGTAGGAATGACCCAACTGTTAACCTGGCTGTCACTACAGCAAATGGCACAGGTGTACCGTGATTCAGGACCCCTTCCTCCAGCAGCACCTGCCACATTCCCACAGCGTGAGCCCGACTGTGAACACACGAGCTCTGCTGAAGCAGCCAGTCGACCAGCTCAGTGCCCACACAACACTGCCTGTAAACACACGCAGATCATGCTCAGCACATGCACTGTGTGTTCTACATACACTAGACATGACCTAAATTAATAAACCTTGCATATGCTGTGCCATATAGCATCACAGGCCACACACACACCTGTAGGTTTTCAGATGATATTTTCTATCTCTGATCATGTGGGGAGCTCTGGCCAGTACAGCATTACGTAAGACTTTTTCTGCCCTCAGAATCTGCTCTGACGGGACCTGAAGCAAAATCCGGGACAGAGAGAGAGGAAGTTGAGAGTGAGGCACAGAAAAACACTCCTGCACAACCTATTTTCTGATCTATAACAGCATTCAGTGGCCTGCACTCATTTTGCTAGTGTAAATGACATAAAATACCTTCTGTTAGCAGATGGTGTGTTTTAAATTCAATTCATTATACATAATTAACACAAACTGTGTAAAAGAGGTGCCTGCGGTCTTGAGTTATGCGCATGGAAATGGGAATTACTGTCAAATTAATCATCAAAAACTGCTTTTGAGACACTCTCAGGAAGCTGTGCCAGAAAAATGAAGATAAATCAAAAATGACATAATTAAAATATTGAATTTTGACAACTGCAAGTCCAAAGTACAGGGATTGTAACCAACATAGAAAAATATATGACCATTCAACAGTATGGGGTCAATAAGATTTTTTAACAAGAAATTAATACTTTTCATCACAGACGTTTATTATGTTACAAAAGTATATATTTAAAATACATGCTTTTCTTTTAAACTTTCTTTTCGTCAAAGAATTCAAATAAAAATAAAAATGTATTACAGTTTCCAGAAAAATATTGAACAGCACAACTGGTTTCAACATTGATCATAATAAGAAACATTTCTTGAGCAGCAAATCAGCATATTAGAATGATTTCTGAAGGATCATGTGACACTGAAGACTGGAGTAATGATGCTGAAAATTCAGCTTTGATCACAGGAATAAATTAAAGTTTAAAATATATTATAATACAAAACAGTTATTTGTATAAATTATAATAAAAAAAATAATTTGACTGTTTTTACTGTATTTTTATGATATCCATACATCCCATTAAACTGTAAAGGTGATGAATGGGGACAACTTTTACTAAATGGGGTGTAAGTCAAAATAGAAATTAAACCAATCATACCTTATACAGATTTTTTGACATAAAATTGAGAGGGTCGCTGTTGAGATTCTCTTTGTCCGGCATTCCTGCATCAAACCGAAAATTGTTGAGAAATAATCACTGATGTGTTATGCGAGTGTGTATGTTTGCATGTGATACTCACTATCATTTGTAGCCCCGCTGTCCATCACTCCATACGGCGGGGCGAGAAGCCCTGCCATGCACTGCCTGTATTTCTGCAAGACACAGAATGACACAATGAAAATGTATTCTAAGCCTCAAAACCTCAGACCTCAGAGTCATTTTCAAACAGGTGAACTGCCTTTACGTCATTAAACTGAAAGCTCTGTAGTAAGAACATAGAGCTCCACCAGTCAGATTGAAGCCTTCTGTGGCTTGGCAACGATCACTATGAATATTCAGATGTTTTCATTCTTTTCCTCTCCCTATCGCCAAGGTGATGGGTGACGGGGTGGCACATGCAGCCCAAACTCACCTAGAGTTCAAACACACACATTATACTGCACCTGCTGGAAATCTGTTTAGACGTTCTCAAAATGGCTGATGGAGTTTACAGCAAAACATTTCAAATAAATAAATGTTCTTAATCAGTATTTTTCTTGTTTTTCCAGAAAATTATTTAAACATCCATAAAACATAAGGGAAAAAAATAAAGCTAACATAATATATCTAACTATATATATACTGTATATACAGTAGTCATAATTTGAAGTGGATCAAAAAAGTGAATCAAAGTTATGAACAAACAAACCTTTGAACCTTAGTGTATATATTATATATACTTTATACATGTTTAGGAAAAAAGTGAGTAAATGCTTGTATAAAGTTGCTGCCATGATGCTATTGTTATGGAATAGAATAGAATAAGATGCATTTCTGAACTTTTCCAGAAAGCAAACTGAGCCATAATATTTAAAAGCATCTAAAAGAGTGAAACTAAATGCTGTCAGGCAGGGACATGTATGTTTTTGCAACTCCACAGAATCCTTCACCACACACTGTGAGATTACGGGTCTCTGAGTGAACGGATGTAATACAATTCATTCATTCAAACGCAGTACTACAGCTCATGCTACTCTGAGGCGTTGTGTTTCCATTAAGTAGAAGTGACAGAGAGTCCAGAGGACATTCTGTATGATAAAGTGAACTGAACGTTTAGAGTTGAAGAGAAAACACAGAGGGTTACAGCTGGAGCACTTGGTTTTCTTTGGCCACTGATTTGAAGTCTTCAAACAGGCTTTGTCCCATTCACACAAATGCACTTTGTATATCCTGTTTGGAAACAGGATATACAAAGTATAAATATATAGAAAATGAAAAATTATGAATATAGTCAATGTTTTACACAGTTTTTAATGAACACTTGAGTTTTAGTGTTTTGTAAGGCTGCATTAATATGATCAAAATACAGTAAAACAGTAATATTATGAAAATTGTATATTCAATTTGAATATAAAGTTCAAAGGTTACAACTGGAGAGGTTGGTTTTCTTTGGCCACTGATTTGAAGTCTTCAAACAGGCTTTGTCCCATTCACACAAATGCACTTTGTATATCCTGTTTCCATCCTGCTTCCTGAAGCTGAAACAAAAGCTAACTTTTCTTAACTTTTCCCATCCCCCAGACACAATACATTGTTGCTCATTCCAGCTGGCTGCCTTCACATAGGTTAAGTATAATTCAGCCAGGATTATGCAATTAACAACACATAAGCGCACAAAACAAGAGTACTTCCTCCCTCATCACCCGGTCAGGCGGTGCCCCCTGCAGCCTGGCACAGAACTGGGCCGGGGAGACAGAAGCCCCTCAGCATTCAGCGCACATCCTCGGCTTTCAGCAGCTGATATTCACCTCACACTGCCGGCACAAGGACAGGGCCTCTTTATCAAGTTGTGACCATCCTATCAGAAATACTACATCCTCAAACATCATATGTTATGTATCAAAAAGCAGAACCACGATTTGCACCAGTAACAGTCAATACCGTTCGCTAAATAAGACCTCTGACATTATTAACCTCAAAAACCACGTTGATATTGATGTGGCTCTGCACCCAGTGCTGGTTGTAATATATCTATAAGTGTGGTTTCCTGATTGTAAACTATGAAAACAGCATCAAATCTTTGTGCATTAAAGACAATGAGCCAATAGGACTCACCCTGGTAAGAGTTTGTGAAGTGTAGTCCGACTGGGACGCTAAATAAGACCTCTGACATTATTAACCTCAAAAACCACGTTGATATTGATGTGGCTCTGCACCCAGTGCTGGTTGTAATATATCTATAAGTGTGGTTTCCTGATTGTAAACTATGAAAACAGCATCAAATCTTTGTGCATTAAAGACAATGAGCCAATGGGACTCACCCTGGTAAGAGTTTGTGGAGTGTAGTCCGACTGGGACGTGATATTTGGCTACTTCCTAAACCCGGCCAACTTCCCAGCATTATCCAGCAAACGCTCCCATGCTTTCCAGTCAGATGCACAAAGACATTAGCCAATGGGACTCACCCTGGTAAGAGTTTGTGAAGTGTAGTCCGACTGGGACGTGATACTTGGCTACTTCCTAAACCCGGCCAACTTCCCAGCATTATCCAGCAAACGCTCCTATGCTTTCCAGGCTGATGCACAAAGACATGAAATCAAACCCGCACACCCTGACGCTCCAGTTACACACGTATGGATAATGTGATCCAGTGTCTGCTCTTTGGATCTTTCTGGCTGAGCATCTGACTGGACTTCAGTTGCCGTTGCCAGGCAATAGCTTCAGCCAATCAGAGAGCCGCGTTTGCTCAATTCACCCTGTACCACAGCATTACACATGAGTGAGGGAGAGGGAACTATGGGCTGCTAAAAGGCTCTCAAAAGCTTGTGGCTTCATCAATTATTAAGGGTATTAAATTGTATTTACACTGAACAGACAGTTGTGTGAGTGTGTATGTGTGTGTGCCCTGCAGCTGTAGTGAAATCACCGTTATCACATTAGAGGAAGGCAGTCTGTCTTTGAGGATCAGTTAGTTCAGCCCTTTTCCAGTCAGGTATATACTAATATAGTTTTATGATATTAAGAGGATACGAAGCCCCACACATGACATGCAAGAAAAAAGAAATAAATCGTGCACACGATTTACTAATTCGTTCCCTCGATGTACTAAAACGTGCACAC